ACACAACTCATATAAATGATTTTTATATTTTACTGATTAACTAATCAAATAACAAAGGTTCGAAAAATTGGTCTTATCCAAACTTATTTTATCTATCAGACTTCCGTATGAAATTTTGCTATACAGTATATGTAGATAGGATCTAAGATCGAATGCCTTCGTAAATCAAGTTTGTATGAATTCCCCTTTAGGTGACATTACTTTCATTATTTACAAAATAACAATGTTTCATTAATGCTTTCTTTAATTCCAATATGGCTTTGTGCTGTTTCGAATCTAGCGTAAATAAAATAGATTTCTCGCCTATGTTTACTGAAAGTATATACAGCTCGGCATGCTGAGATAACTTGAAGCAAAGGATATGTGTGTGCTTTCTGGCCCCTTTTGTGTTTCCTGCCAGATCAACTTTTCGCCCGTCATTGTTTTCCCGCCTCTGGCTCATGGGTTAGCGAGCGGAAAGTTATGATGTCCAGTTTGAAGACGAGTGTTTGGCTTGGCGGGCAGGATCAGGTTCTGCCTAGGATGGGATGCGATGGAACTGGCGTGTACACTGAGGCCAATAGAGGCTTGGGCTATCATAATGGCTGAACGATATGGGAGCGTCCATCTTGATCTTTGGACCTTCTGGAGAGAGACGCTAAGACGACGAGCTGGCTGGCATTGGCCGAAATTCCTCCCGATCCGTGGGCGTTATATTGGCTCATTGTAGCCTCCACAACGCACAACGTGGGCGCAGATGTGCACAAATCACGTAGCGACCCTGCAAATACTAGTGCAGAGCCTAAATATCAACAGTAAGTCAGCTGGTTGGAATGTGAAAAGCAAAGGGATAGGGCGCTTGGACTGTAGAATGAGCAAGAATCATGCCACTTCTACAGGCTAATCGGGTGAAAGACCTAACTAACCGGCATGATGGTCTCTAACTTTTAGCCAATTCACTAATTGTTAATTTCTTTAGAAATGCAACGCAGACGGCTTCATGAGGACTTCTCAATGTAGATAGCTTTGCAGCAAAAAATTGTGATCTCTTTTCAGAAGAGCTGGATTCTTTACGAAGCATATGGCAAAATCAGCTGTATCCATTTTTAATTTGTCTTCAAACTGAAGATAAGATCAAGTCAGAAATAACATAATTACAAATTAAATATCTCCGAATGGGTACAAAAAGATGCGACAGTATAATATACTGGTAATGAATCGCGCAATGCAGCCCAGTTGTAGGAAATTCCAACGCTAGCTTTAACGCATCTGAAATGTAGCTATTGTAAGTATATTGTAGAATTTAAAGGTGAAAGTCTACAAGGCTAAAGTGCACCTATACCTGAAAAATATAATTAATCGGATAAGTCTAGATTTTCATCCATCCTGAACGAAGAAGTTGTCGTTAAGTTGCTTAGAAGGAGCTAATCCTATGGCAATAATAGTGCTGGCATTAAACAAATTATTGCAGAATGGGAAGCAATGAGGTGATGCTGATGCAAATGAAGCAATGTTGAATTGACTTGCATTTTGTGTGGAAATGTGCAATAAAGAGTTTCGTAGATGTTTCTCATTAGAGCACGATGGCGTGGTCTGTTGCATCTTGAGCATGTTGATAAGTTCAAGATGACGCTATCTTTGAGACAGCCTCGCTCTCTTTAAGTGAAAAAGCGATGAACTATATTCTGCACTACTGCTTGATGGACATCAGCATCAATGGAATACAAAGACATAACAAATTAAAAATCATAATGGGTCAGCAAAACCATCCAGTTCAAACCGACTTGTTGCATATACTAAGATACAAATGCATTTTGTGGGTTACAAGATGATTTAGTTAACTCTTTATGTCTACATCTGTGTGTTTATGTACATACCGGTGTGTATGTGCATGAGTATGTGTGTATTTGTGCAATGTAATGAGATGAAATCACCCTATTTCGTCTAGGGTTATGG